CGGTTGTAAAAAATAGCAGGGTAGGAGTTCCGGATGATGTGCGTTGCGTTGTCAACTAGGCTTTGTGTCCCAGCAACCCTAGAGATTCTGCCCGCCCAGTGAAGGTTTAGGAAGAGGAAAAGGGAGGGGGGATAAATACAGGCTAAGAGGAAAACGAGAGAGTGGGGACGGGGCTAAAAAGAGTATCTAGGCCCAGAGGCAGAAAAGGAAAGCTCTGCTCTGTGCCTAGGTAGCCTGACGGTTCTTCGTCTCCGGAGAATTTGGGGGAGGCGAGTGGTGAGTGGGGAGGGTTGTTGTCTGGAGTGGTTGGAGGTTGGAGGTTGAGGTAGAAGTTGGAGGATGTTTGTTTGGGAGGATTGGCCTGAGTGTGGAAGGACAAACAGAGGGCATGAGGCTCTTGGCCTTGTCAAGGGCGGTAGGTGGGCTTAGTCAGCGAGGTTAGGTAACCAAGTTAACTAAAGGCATCCGCAACAACCATTGGCGGCTTGGCATCGAAGGTCCTTTCATAGCAGTGGATATAAGGAGGTTGATACCCAGTATCTCAAAGATAAAGTGGACTTAGGGAGATGTGTGTACGACCGTATGAACCTAATTTTAAGGGTCTGGGGCATTTGAGATTGACTCGAGGTTGACTCGATGCTTTACACAGTTTATTCTTCTACTCTCGACTCTCAGCCCTAACCAGTGTTTGCCCTTCCCCTCCTATTATGCTATCAAATACCATGAATAGGTACAGTTTCAGAAAGAGCATTCTTGGGTTTAATTGTACCCCAGTCCATGCCATTCGCCTGCTACTGGTCTCAAGCAGGCCAGCTGACCCCTTGTATTCATATAATTTTCTGATCTGTGCGAAGAAATCACATACAAACCGCAGGAGAAAAAAGAAGGAAAAAAAAAAAAAAAAAAAAAAAATTTAACCATAGCTCCTCACTGAGAAACAAATAACATCAACACAGGCTAATTCTCAATTTTCATATTATCCCAATCTCCATCTCCATCTCCAGCGTCACTCCAATTTACATCCCCAGGATCTTCCCCGCCATTCTCCTCGTCCACTTGCCCATCCTCAGAACTATCGATATCAAACACAGAATATCTCAGTCTATCCGCGTACAAAACACACACCACCCTCCTCCCTTTCCGCCCATTGACTTGAAACTCCACCGGCTCCATATTTCCCTGCCCTGTGAAAGTGTGTTTCACAAAGTCCGCATGCTGCTGTGGATCTGCGAGGTATAGGTGCGTTATGTCATCTTCAGGTATCCCAGATGGCAAAGTAGATGATGTAGCTGAAGCTTCAGGACTGTGACTGAGTCTGATGTAGTTGGGGTGAAATAAAGCATCAGGATTTGGGAGGTAGGGAAAGCTGACGAGATGGGTGTTGCCGTCAGATAATAGAAGCATCATTGTACCATCCTCAACGAACTTGATTTGTTTTATGTTCCCATTTTGCAGATTTAATACTGCTAGGAACGTAGCCTTGGTTGAGCTGACACCGTTGACTGTGTCAAGAAGCACTCTATACAGATAAACTACAAGATGAAAAAAAATTAGTTGGAAGACAGGATTAGAATCAATCGTTGGTCTTACGTATCCATGATGAGCTTTTCGATTTCGATGCAATGTATACAGATGCATATGTAGAATTCTCAAAGGGCTAGAAGACGAAAGCGATACAGTCAGTTTAATAGCAATCATCCTCAGAACTAGAAAGGCCACAGCAACTTACACCGAAATTCATCGCCATATCAATTACATCTTCACTACAATCCGGGTCTAGGGATAACGGAGATCTGTGGAGTATGCCTCTTCGCTGTGTCTCAGCCATCTGCTTAAACACCTTTTCATACTGCAAGCCAAGGCGGGAAGTGAGATCGCCAAGAAGTGGTATATCGATCCTATCTGTCGATTTCTTCTGATCCTGTTGTCGAAGTAGTTTCTTATATGTTTCATAAAACGAGCTGTCACGCCCCGCTGTTTCCCATCGATCAGGCTGTGACTGTGCGGTAGCAGGTTGGATGAAATCCTGAAGAGCGCTTCGCGTCATAGCTCCCTGAATATAACTCAGAGTTTGAGCGTGGTCGAGTGAGTCACTGCTCTCAGTCAGTTCCTCATACGTTGAAGACAGCGGATCGGCCGCCTGTAGATCCACTTCATGTCTCAACCATTTTGAGAAGGCAGCAAACTCAAGGAGCTCGCGGTTGCTATGGATCAAAAGTTTATGGGACAGAAGGTTAAGGCAGTCAATAGTTTCTTGGCATTTCTCAAGATCGGTTGTCTCTAAGCCCAGGATCGGGCTAAGCTTGTGGAACTTTGATAACCCTAGTAGCCGACTCAGAAGGACTCCGCATCTTTCCAGTGCAGGGAGGAGACATTCGTGAGTCAGCCTTCTCAGCGCTTCATATCCTGATGTAACCGCTTTTTCCCAACGTTTATGGCCCTAAACATAGGTTAGGAGCTGTGTTGTTGTGTAGCCGGATATAATTTGGAGTACATTACTTACCCTATCGCCAAGGATCTCAACGAGAAACTCCTTAAGTGGCGGAAAGCAATCCCCAGTCACCAGGAGGTGGTACGCAGCAGTCACAAAATCACATGAGCATTTGTCCTGTAGATCCTCAGTTACATTCCTAATATACCGTCCCGGCAGGTCCTGCGCATTTTTCCACTCAAGATGAATCTGAGCCTGTACTTGCTTGATATACCGCAGCAAATTTTGCAACTGCGTGACTTTAGACGCAAGGAGAGACAGGTACCGCCCGCATCTCGTAATGAATCGGAGATCTAGAGTGACAAGGAGCAGATTACTCTCCGTGGAGAACAAAAGGGAATGAGTTGAGCTAATTGGATGAGAAGAATGAAGCAAAATTCTGCTTGCCGTTGAATCCCCAAGAGAGCCTCCTACAGGAAAGGGACCAATATCGAAACAGTCGAAAATCCGTAGGTGAATGGTCCCATCATCGAAACCTGCTAGCAAAACGTCGACAGAGTCACCGGTCACTTTGTTTGTAGCATGAAAGATGGAATCAATCGACGCTCGAGTGCCAAACACATCATCGCTATAAAAAACATCTTAGTAAAAAAAAGAAAAGAAAAAGAAAAAGAAAAAGGAAAAGAATATTGAATTATAGATGCAAAGATTAAAAAATAACAGAAGCTCACTCATTCCCCGTCGATGGTAAGGTGCTCAACTTGGGGAGCGACCGCTCCATATCTAGCATAGCCAGCTCTCGCGGCAAATCTGCTTTTAGCTGCGCAATTTTCGACAATTGCGTTTGCGTCGACAGTAGATCTTGGACAGTAATTCTTCTGTCTGCATCTTGAAGGTATTTCAATGCGCTCCTGCCATCGGTAAAGTTCATCCCCCAACCAAGGCAGGATACACACGTAGCTGCATCCGCTGCGGGCGAAAGCGATGAGGGTGGTACAGAGGCAGTTGAATGAGATGCTAACAAAGGGCCACATGGTAGTTGATGTACAATTTTGCCGCTGTATGCGCTTAATATGCGGATGATGTTGTCTGAACAGACGACGGCGAGGAGATGGCCTGCAGGCAGCTGTTAGATCTCGGAAGTGAAGCCTCGCCAAATGATGTAATAACAAGGATCTCCAGATAAAACTAAAACATCTAGTACATAAAGGAGAAAAATTAAACATTTCCCCAAACAAAGAGTTATATACTGTAAAATCTCCTTACCGGTCCCTTTCCACTTCAACCCTCTGACCTCTCTTCCACTACCACCGCGTCCACCTTCGCCATAAACACCCCCAAATACCCGCTGCCCATTCAAGCGGAAAACATCCACTCGTTCGTCCGCGCTGGCCAACGCGATAAGGTCCATTGTTGGACAGTACGACATTGACCCGGGCTTGCATTTTGACGCGAGTGTTTTCTCAGCCAGAGTGGCCAACTTGGGGAGCCGCTGAGGGTTCATCGTAGATGGATTTAGTTTGGAAATGGAGGAGGCTTTAAAAGGGGAGGAAGTGGTTATTCTGAGGAAAACGGCATGATCTGGATCATCGCGTTTAATTTGCTTTGATAGATAGATGTGTATCACGTTCAGGACTGGAGCAGTCTTGGTGTTCTGAGTATTAAACAAGGTTGGAGGTTTCGCATATAAAATTGAAACTTCTAAGCTGAGATTCCACAACAGAGGATGTGGGCATTATAATTCGATAGAATGCTTGTGAAAATAGATGGAAAGTGAGAGTAAAATTTAATTGTTTACAATACGACCAGGTTTGTTGATGGTGAAATTCTTGTGACGTTAATTTTGATATTGCGATGCAATCCATCGTCGATATTTATGTTACCATGTTTTGCGTCATGGCAACAAAGTTAAACTTCAACAACCAGCTCTAAAGGGTTTAACTACGCGGAATGCTTCCAGAGCCTCCATTATCATAAGATGTCCAAACAAATGGGCATATCCTACATATAATTGTTCATATCTCTCCCAAAAGTATTCATCAGAGGATTTCGAGCCAGATAAAATAAAATAAAATAAAATTATCATTCAAACTCACAAAGTTATGCAAATCCATAGTTTTCCTATGTTACGATATTTTCAGCGCCTCATAATATATGCAGATGCTCAGTACCTACCCCCACACAATATGTAATGCTCCCAATGCACGCAATACTGATGTAGAGAAGCCAGCCCCTATTGAGTCGCAGAATCAATCCCGCTATCCAACACAATAATAACAAAACAATGCAGGGAGCTAAGAAATCCGACAAAACCCTAATTAAGTATGATCTCTAATGAGAAGAATGGGAAAAGAGTAAAATAAATATTAGTCAATACTGAAATCGCGATAGAAACATTATTGTGCTCTAAAAACGGGAAAAATAATGCGAAACACAAAATATGCATGATAGACTGGGAGTAATCTGCATTTTCAAGGACTTAGATATGGAGCTGAGGGCCCACCAAGTTTTGACTAGATAACGTCATATATCATGTCAAAAAATGCCGGGAGGCCGTGGGTGACCCATTTCAATAACTTTTCACGGCATTTTCTTCAATAATATCTCGCAAATATCCCAACTCGTTCATTAACTCCTGCATTGAAGAATCGACATAGGGATTTTGTAGTCCTTGTCCAACGCCACAACAAGGGGTCATAGCATGTTTATCACTTTTCATCCGGTGGTCTTGATCATTTGTCGGTTTTGGGCGCGGAGTGGGGAGGTTGGAATTATTGAAATTACCTTCCTTGATGGAGGAGTTGGTATTTGGTGAATAGTTATTATGTTTTAGGATTAGATGTTTCCACGAGGGTGTTGTAGGGGATTTATCATTATTTTTTCGCCTGAGGTTGGTGTCTCTGTTGGGTGTGGGGCGCCCACTGCCGTCGTCTTCACTTGGAGTTTTTGAGATGTAAAGGGAGGATTTATCGACATCTTCAGGGCAACAATTGGAGGTGTTGGATGGGCATTGCTGCGTACTATTTTTGGACGAGTTAGCCTGCGGAGGTGGTTTTGCGAGTGCCACTTCAAATGCTATCTCCTTGTCTTCATTGGTTGCCGGAGGGAATGTGTCATAACTATTAATCGTTGAGGCAGATGTCATGGAGAAGGGTGAGGCATCGTCTGTATCCGTGCTATATTCCGAAAAGCGGCTACCACCCGGTTGGAAGGAGTCCGGAGAGCAGGAATCATCAGGAGATTCAGCAGTGAAGTCGGAAAAATGGCTCTGTAGGTACTCTTCTTCGCTAATAGGAAGATGTTCCTCTCTCGTTGAGTGCAATTCTGAGTCGAGAGCGGATGTCGGACTGTTCGGGAGTGTTGGCAAACGTTTCTCGTACAGATCCAGGGGAGATAAAATGTCTGGGTCCCAGGCATCACCTTTTGATTCCCATTGAGGGATAAACCTGAGCGTGTTTTGCTGCGATATCGAGTCTCGATACGCATCGAGAGGTCGCCATTGAGGGCGTTCGGTTTCCTTAGGGCCAAGTCCATGAAGTGATGAATTGTTAAATGTCAGTGTGGTATTTGAAGGAGACGGACCCCTGCTCTCTCGAAGAGAATTGTCCCGATTCGATTGTTCACCGGACATATATCCACCAGCAGGATGTGGCAATGACTTGTTTAGATTGCTGGCGGGGCTCCACATGGGTGATGAGTTATTGGAGTAACTTTTTGAATTCAATTCCACACCTGGAACTTTCACAATGAGGTATTTCGCCCAGTCACGAGGCTGGCGACCTCTGTTCTCATTATTTCGGCCGAATCTTGGGGATGCGACATTCATTATACTAGATCGAAGCGAACTGGGTTTGGTGGAAGGGTTAATTGAAATTTTCAGGTCTAGTGACAATTTGCCGCCAATGCGGAATCTGCGGCGTGAGGTAATGGCACGCGGGTGGGAGAGACTTCTTCCATGAGCAGGAGATAGTGATGATCCGGCAGAGAGAGTGGGGGTTAGAGCGTAGTCGCTGCGCATGAGCATCGCCGGGGAGGTTGTGAGTCGAGGTAAAGTTGGCCGAGGTGGAGGTCTCGGATTCATATATTTGTCGTCAGGATTCATCGTTTCATGACCAATTACTTGTGAGACGTGATTGGCGCCGCGAGTATGAAAGCTTTCTGAGGATGGTAAATGTATCGGAACATTGAGGACGTTCAATGGCTGGCCAGGGAGCAAAGGGCAAGAGGTGGTCACCGGCTCCGCCTCATTAAAAAATTCAACTTCATTGTCAATTTGGTACTACGGTTGAAAGTCAGTTTTCTAGTTCAAAGAATCCCTAGGAACATTTGAAAAACCTACATAATACCAATACGTGCCACCCATTCTCAGACCGCCATCTCTTCCTGGAGGAAGTGCGTTTATTTCACCATCACATATTATGTTTGTGAAAGTATGACATCCTTTCCAATAGCCTTTGCCAATTCGACTGTCCTTCTCCATGGGATATGCTCTCGTGAAATTGTCCCATGATCCAAGGAGCTTCACAAACCTGGTATTTGGAGGGGTTCGACTACTGCTCCGTCAGTCACAGTTCAGAAAGGTTTTAACTTGACGTCAAGCTTACACAAGAAATGTTATCAGCGTCGTAGAGGAGCTGTCCATAGCTGCAGCAGAGCTATTCAGAAGTGGCAAATACTGAATGGAACAGGCCGAAAACGGATGGAGAAATATCAAAAGAAAGTAACCTGGATCCGGCCAGGGAAAACCTCCTCAGCTTCAATATAGCTCTGCCACCAGTCGAATAGCCCTAGTCAGATATTAATGTCCGCGCTGTCCTCAGCGCAGCAATCTCTTATATAACTAGCAGCCTTGTTGAAATAAGGCTGCCAAGACATAACCCAGTCCCGAGTATGAACCTGAGAACCGTGCTGCTGGATGTTATTTTTAGGAATTTCGTTTCAAATCCGTAATGTGCCTCAGGATGAGGAAGAGTTCTGGCAAAGCACGGTCGATGGGTGACAATCGAGGGCGCCCAATGAGGTTGCCGGACCTTGCGGAAGCGCTCTTGATTATGATGGAGATGAAATTATGTAGGAGAAATCCTGGAGCTTGCTGAGAGAGCAAATAGGATGATGTATTCAAATTGCTTCTAGCAACAGCGGGGGTTGGAGGGGATATATGAAGCAAACGGTCCTTATGGAATGGCGGTTGTTGAAACCAAGCAAGGCATGCCGTCAAATCTTCTGGCAAGAATCGCCATGGTTGACGAGACGCAAATAATAAAACACTTTAGGCGTTGTGGCTTTGACGGTACAGTGACACTAATCTAGCGAAACGGGTGTCGTCACTGGCAGAACAAAATTATGGGGCTGTTCTCTGGCTCTATAGCGCGATGGTGGATGCGACTAGCGAGGAAGATGAATACCCGTTACTGAACACAGAGCAGGGCTGGCTTAACGCTGCCTCTGGCCGTATAAGAGATCGAGGGCCATGGAGCCAGTTTACCCAGAAGTTATTGGCCCTATGGACATGCTCCAGGGCTGCATTTTCACAGTAAAAGATGTCGCCGTGGGCGTATGAGGATGAGAATAATCCCATAATTGTAGTGGTGGAATCTACTCCATTCCCTGCATTAATTCCCATCTTCCATGTGGCGCTTCGTTTTCTATTGCATCCACCAGTCCTGACCCTGTTCCAAGGTACAACAACCTGGAAATCTCGTGGCGCCAACAAAATAAAAGGGATATATGAGCGAATAGGGATGCTAGATAGTAAACTCTATGAAGTTAGTGAGTTACTTACGACCGAAATAGTATTCATCGATGCCAGCATCAATCATGCAATTTTACAGAAACAAATCACAAACAAAACGAAATGAAAACAAACCAAAACCTTCCGATTACCGTAGCATGCGAAAACGAGAAACTTTTCCCTCCATTGCCCAGTAACTGTATAGGAGATGTAGGGATCAATCTTCAATCTCGACAATTCCCAACAATGAACATCCTTGCCATGAGTGGCTAGCTTCTCAGCTCCAGCCAAAAGGAGACTCTCGGCCTACTTGGGCCCACTTGGACTCCACCAGTTGGTCAATAGTTCGCAATCGCCAGCTCAATAGCAGAAGCCGTCGAACAACAAGCAAATCAGCACGCAGCATTTACCAGGCTGCGGTGCAAGTTTCTCACGGGGTCACAGCATGGTCCGTAAGCGGTAATCCCCATTGGATGCTAGTGCTTTAGATTGGGTTAGCGGTTCGAGCGGCGTCTGTATGGCTGTAAGCGTGTACCTGGATTGAAGTGTCCAGGAATTTTGAGACTAACCCTGGAAGGTATTTGAGCGGATCTGTAAATGAGACTCATTGAGAACTGATGAATGATGAGAGGAAATATGATGGATTATGCCGGTGCACGGGGGGTTTGCGTTTTTTGGGTTGCCCAAAACTTGGTGGTCCCTGCCGAGGCTCAGTTAGAACAGAATACCCATCCAAACCAACGATCCCAACGACGCCATGATACCCATCAATGATGGCAAAGATTGAAAGAAATTGACATTTTGATATTCAGCCAGGCTAAGTTTTTGCTAGAGAATATGTGAGAGGTCACCGACTGGCATCCTGCCTCGGGTTTATTCTATTACAACCCGCACAGTTAAACAATTGCCTCTGTTAGTGAACGGGTTCACTCACCCTAAAGTTGATAAGATCAAATTATTTCGTTTCTCGCCTCTCTAAGCCTGTGCTAAAGAGACCCAGCTGTTGAATGAGCCTTCCCTGGGAATGTATGCAGAGTTGGGTGTATTTGTCCCACATCGTCGAGGATAAAATCAATAGTGGAACTCACATACTTTAATGGCGATGTTGTCCTTAAACATGCATGGAGTAATTCTGCGTCTTTTCTCGATTGATAGACCAATGTCAAATATAAAATACCCTTAGTCTTTCCGCTCATGCGTATATCGTCGGCTGTCATCCGCATCTTGTAGCGCAGGACTACCAGTGAAGGATTAGGTTAAAGAGCTAGGTCGAAGAGCTACTGTTGTTGGAATCTAGTGATATACTGACGATGAGAACTTTACCTAGAACCTGAATCACCGTTTTCTCGCGTAATGTATCTTGGGAGGGGGATTGCTAACCCACATGATCAAATCCCACAGACAGACCACTCACGGAGTGATAGGATATTCATTGCCGTTCCCCTTTACCGTCCTTGAACATAAGGTGGCAAGTCGATTAATGATTGGATTTTTACAGCTTTTCATTCTCAAGGCCCACTTTTTGCTATTTATCAAAGCCCAGCTGGTAACCATGAAGCCTTTCGTTATTGAGAAAGTGGTTGTCGAGGGTCAGACGAAACCGCTCGAGAATACCATTCAGCTCCTATGAGCGAGCTTCCGTATAGGGTTTCTCTGCAGAGGGGGTAAGAATGCGTGTATGAAGCCCTTTGAAACCGAATCAGCGCTATGGCGTTATTTCCACCAAAACGCCCCCGCTCGTGGTGTTTCTGATGCTAACCATTATCAAGTATTCCGTCCCATGAGGCCACTCCGAGCTGCCAGGACGAATGGATTCATCGAAGGAAAGTAACTCTGTGAACGGCAAGTTGAGGCAACAAAGTGCAATATTGAACTCTGCCTGATGTACCTTTCCTATTTTTCTTAATGCGGCCATTGGGATGCAGTCGAATTTTACCTGTTCGACCAGAATCTCTGCTGGTCTGAAGGCAGATGGTGTTCCCGACAGGCTTATCAGAGCAAACTTCAAGTGTTGACTTGAGTTTCAATTGAATATTAGTGTTGATGATCTTTCATTTCTATGAGTATTACTGACTCAATTATGTTAGACAATGACAAAAACACTTATAAGGAGATGCTAAGGGAACATCATATGGATAGACAAGAAAGAGCAGTAAGAAAACGAATTTGGCTCTGGATGAGGTTCTAACATTGCAGAGGACATCACCATCAGATATAAACCCAGACGAACAATGGGAGATATGGAAGCAGAGCAAATTCCCACGCATACCACACAAGGAATAAATGGGTACGCGACGACCGCAGAAAGGAGTGAACTGTCAATAATTTTACTAGAATAGGAGCTAGAGCCAGCAGGGTTAAAAACAAGGAACCTCTATTCGGTCCTCTTGACCCTAGCTTTTCGGTCATACCTCTTATCAACCCCCCCAAGCATGATTTTCATGATCTTATTTGGTGTCAGCTCGCTCCCGGACCACGGAGCTGTATCAGCAATATCCCCGAATATTATATTCTTAGTGAAATGTATCGTCGAGTTTCTTCAACCACTTCGTTGCCTTCGAGTCGTTTCCAACCTGCACAAATTGAATACCCACCTGCCAAGGTTTAGCATTACATTTGTCTAGACGATTCGCTGCATTGGATATCACCGTTTCCACATCATCGGTGGGACGACCATTTGTGATCACAATGATGTTAAGCGGTTTAACGGTATTCCCCAGAGCTTTAGTTTCGGATGCGGTTTCGACATGACTCAAGTGCTGATCGAGAATATCATGAATACTAATCGAAATCAAACATGAAGTTTACTGGAACGGTTGCGGCACGACTTTGGGCGTGTTAGAAGATTTGACTAACCCCTAGGAGATATAAACTAAGCATCGGATATAGGGTTCTGATTGGGATATGAAGGTAGAAAGCGAGGGCAGAACGTACTGAGCCTCAGCCAGTCGACATAATAAAGCATCCGCTGAATTCTCAAAGGCCTAAATACGGTCGCAAAAATGGAATTTTGGTTAATGGAAATAATGCATCGCAACTCTTGACCCTTTTCTCGGCTTTTATGTCGGAAACCTTTACAATTGACCAGTGAGAATGGTCACTATCTAGGTATCTTGGGTACTGGATGAAAATCATTGTAGGGCAATCGGTAAAAAGCATTAGCCGTAGAAAAGAAAATTTACAGACCCTCCTATCTATCACAAACAACTCTCTCACATCTGATAAAAATCCATCACAGAGAAGCTCCTTTCTTTTGATGGCAGATGTCACCAGCAATTAATCAGATTCGATATTTAGGCAGACGCAAAGCGGTGGCAGGGGTTAACAAGGGGCTATTTAAGAGCGACAATAATAATCCTACATGCGATGCCATCTCAAAAGTCAGCTCTCATAGGAAACAACAGCAGATGGGATCGCAAATTTATGAAGTTCCCGGAAGTCAGCTCTAAACTCGGCGATGGCGAATTTCTTTATCACCAGAATCGAAGTCTCCGACTGGGACGAAATAGTCGAGGGTCATTTCAGTTCTTTTGTCGATGAGCAATTTCAACTTCTCCTCCATGGCAGTGACACTCCACGCAACCGCCAGCTCTTAAAGGAAAAGAGGCTCAATAAGTATACACGTTTGAGTAACTCAATATGGCTTAAAGCCGCCGACCCTAATAGCAAAAGGAAGATCGCTGGGGTGGCCAATTACACGCTGAATCCCACCTATGTTCCACTGCAGAAGCTTAGGTTGGATTCGGATATGCCATGGCTGGATGATCCGGAAGATAAGCGGATTCTGAGAGCAATATTTGATGACGTGGCGGATCGGAGGTGGAGGCATGTTAAGGAAGCACATATTCGTGAGTGTTTTCTGTCCAATTCCCCATCCCCTTTTTCCCAGGCATAGAATGCACTCAATTGACCATTGGAGTGTTCTTTATCACTTAACAATCTATACATCTATATATTATATCCACCCATTGACTTGATTGCTATAATTGTTCTCAGAACTCGACGCACTATACGTCCTTCCCGAATACAGGGGCCTTGGAATCGCTGGTCGGTTTCTGGAATGGGGACGAGATCTCGCGGATCATTTGATGGTGCCCATAACTCTCGAATCTTCCATGATGGCACATCCGTTATATCTCAAATACGGGTTCGTCGACGTCGAGCACTCCCGTGTCGTGATGGGAAAGTGGGATATCGAGTACTATCAGATGAAGTTGGAGCCGAAGTCAACGGAGTTGCAAGGTTGATCCAAGTGATTACCCGATAGATAGCTGCACATTGTGTGTTTACAAACCTGGATTTTAGATTTCCGATGTTAACTTAAGAGCTTCACAAGGTCACTGATTCACGGACAGAGGGACCGGTTAAGCTTTCGGGACTGATCGTTCCATTTTTAAGAAAAGCCATGGTAACTAGTTAACGAAACCGTCAGGTAAACCCGGGGCGCCTTGCGCTGTTAATAGTATTTCCTTGGCCAGCAACGTTGGTGAAAATAATTGTGTGAGAAGAGTGGGCTCTTCAATATACCACAGATGAGGAACAATTCTAGAAGGTGATGTCCTGGCCATATCAGGGCCTAGGCAGCGCAACCACGGGAATTGACGTAATGTGTTCACTGCCAAAGATATTGATTGCGCCTGGTGGAGTGGTTTGAAAAAATGATGTTTGGATGGTAATAAAAGATATCGAAAGTCGCTATACACGGCTTCACTAACTACCTGTCTTCCTGGATGACAGCCCAGGGAACTTTTCCAACCTATGATGGATTTTCAACTTCAATCTCGCAGCTTCATACACCAGTTTCTGCCCCCCAATATTCTGCAGCTTTTACAATGAACTGTGTATGCACATTGCTGATTTGACAATTTTGTTCGTTAATATTACATATCGAAGCAGCTCTGCCCCAAGCTCCCCATTCTCGGCCACCACATCATAAAAGCCATCATGGTCGACCAATATGTCTACATTGTCCATAATAATCGCAGAAATTCCGTCCATGAGTTCGGTGTAGTTGCCGGATTCGCATCGGTATATATCCCGAATAACCTCAATGATGCTGCCTCTGTGGACATTTGTTTGGTCCAAATGAGCACCGTTTCTTTTGCCCAGGACTGGAGCCAGAAGATATCGAATTGGTCAACCAGGGCGTATAAGCGTAACAGGCGAAGACCTGCGCTGCGTTGAGGGACGCCTGGGCACTTATTGTTCTCCGTCAACGAATGCTTGGGCGTCACAACACAACTTTCGGATTTATCGATCCTGTCAGTCGATCCATTGGAGTCTTCTTGTGCTTCCGTCCAAAGCTCTACATAGTATGAAATCTCGAAACCATATAGAATGGAAATCAATAACTCAAGGCTATCCATGTCTTCCTCAGGCAGATGGATTCTTTTTGACCTTGATTCCTATGACAACACAAAAGTAACTGGGTTGTTCAATCTGTAAATAGCCACATAGCCACACTGTGTTGGATTGGGGGGGGGGGGAAGAAAAGAAAACAAGAAAAGAGAAAGAATTATAAAAGAAATTGTGTTTTCATATATTTTAAGTAATTATAATCCAGAGACGTACAGCGAAGTTTCCTTTCACGGCCTTTTCGAAAAACCGTGACCTGGCACAAATAATCCTGGAATGGACGTTGTATTCGCAGTCCATTGCTGATATCTTGAAATCAGGTCTCTCCGGAACACCCTCAAGTTGCTCTACTCTTTCGGCGAGAGTTAGACCGCGAGAGTCCTTTTTAACCTTACTTGCGGTTTTGGGTTGCGCTTCCGGGGCAGCATCGGATTCAATTCTCGAGTTGTATACTTTTGCCTTGTCATCCATCCTTCTCTTACAGTCCTTGTAGATTTATTCCGCAAGTAATGGCTGTGAGAAGTGTGCGCTCTTCACAGGAAGTGCGGGACAGACACATCATTTAATCTTGTTGGAGCCTAATTTTTGAACCACAGGCACAACTAATCGATCATGATAGTGAGATGGTTGGTGCCAGGCACAATATTCTAAGCTTCCAAGTGATTTATTCATTATAAGAATAGAACAGGTAGTTATATAGGGTCGCAATCGATTGGACGATTCGTTTGTCTGTTTTCATTTGCATATATCTCTGCAGGTAGCCACAAAAGTACAGGTTGAGTGCTGTTGGAATGCAAATATAGCAGTAGGGACTTGGTGAGCTAAAATCTAAATTATTATCCTTGGTTGAACCAAATCCGCCAATCACCCAACCGAGTTAAAAGTTACCTTGGATCAGGCACCCAATTCTCATACAGAGCCAGAGCAACAGAATTTTTGGTACCAACTTTGTTGTAGCTATTTCAAAATATCATATTATAGGTAGATGTGATTCATTTGGTGGCTTATCACCTGGAATTTCAAGGGGTTGATTCAATAATTAGAGATTTAAAAATGAAGGTCAATTCTTGATTGATAGAGCCGAGGTTTGTTCTCAATCGGGAGCCAGATTATCATCGTGTCAAAGGTAAAATATACCCAAGATAAAGTCGGTCATTCAGAAATTTTATAAGATTAGTACCGCCCTCAGACTTACAATTTTGCAGGAATCCCACCGTCTTCGACATCGAATTCCGTAGTGCAAAGCAGGAAAGTGTCCTTCAAAGCCTAGAGATTTGAACGCATTATTAGAATCATACTCATGTCCCAAAGATGTCACACAAATATTCGTAAAATGAACCAAAACTTACATTTAATCGATGTTTTGTATTGATCTCCTGATACTCCTCCGAAGCCAACATGTCGCAGAAATGTCGAATGGATGGATAATGGACAATGGATATCTCATTCCACCAATCTTCCTCCGGTCTGTCTGGATTTCCCCGGGAATCACGTTGATCTGCAGCAGGGTGAACAACATTGCCGACCAGTTTCGCATCACCGCCAATTTTGCTGGCGACTTTGACAAAACCCTGAGATATTTTGAAAGCGTTAGATTAAAATATTACTTTCAACCTTAAAGGGAAAGAATCCAAGAAACGCCAACGGATAACAACATACCTGGCCATACTTAAAGTACTCCTGTTTCCCACATGGATGGAAATGTAGAAGATTAAGCATCGTCACTGGCTTGTCGTGGGTTTTCAGCAATTCGTCCATGAACTTGAGAAGATCGGGGGAGAGCTCCAGGCTTTGAGACGAAGCCTTCCCGTCAGCAATATCCAGAGCCCCAGTAGTGGGAATAGAGGATGTTTCGCACTTCAATTTCGCATCGCGATCTGCAAATGTCGATAGCAATTTTGATGGAATCCCCGCTTGGATAGAATACTCGCTCTTTACGTACGAGTCGCGGAGGTGGGACGGAATTGCGTTTCGTGGAGATAGGAGGAGAATTAGCAGGTCCCAATTTGTGATCTGCAATGGATTTCCGTCTAGGATGTGGGACCGGACAACCACATGCCGTGGGCGGGAGCAGACGATAACCTCGACCCCTGGAGATTTCTTGAGCTCTTCTATGAAAGTTTTCGGATTAGTGTTAGGCGAGAGAGTGAGCAGGTGGAGGGTTAGAAGAGGCATTATGAAGATGAAGGGCTGTCAGGAGGACTGAATAGTATGGTATGGCTTGTATTCATATGCGAACAGCCTTGAATATTCAGAATTATCGGATCTGGCGACGCTCGGTATGCCGAGGTCAAACTCGTGGGTGTGTGATTGCCGGAAGTTTATCGGGCCATAGCGGATACCGAAACTTAAAATAGCCGCGAGATCTGTATGAATTATTCGTCTTTTCCCAGTTCCCTTGGTTGTTTCTATCCAAACATTTTTGGGAAGTGTCATAATGGTTAACGTTAGATGCAAGTTCACATTGGTTGGCCACACGACGAGCTGCCCATGGACAAAGTTGGTAACTTTTTGCATTGAAAATATATGGACCGTGATTGTTGTTACTTTGCGTTTCCTTGAAGTTTGAAGTTTCAGATGTTGGAATAAGGAGCTATTTCACGCACTCCTATTCTTCAATGAGGAATAATGCTCTTTTCTCCTTAAGTATTCGAAGGGATGAAAAGACTTGGTGGAAACGGGTACCCACGTGATGCCAGTGTAATTTTCCGCACCGTAACTTTTGTATTTGTGATACCTGTCTGATACATTTAGTCTGACGCGTGAAACTCAGCAGTTAAAATGCCCGCGTCTTCTATTCCAAGCACCGAAACATCTTCAGTAAACAATATGATATATAGAGGCCCAACTCGACCAATTCGATGTACCTGTTGCTTGTTCTCCTCTCCTGTGTCTTGCTGCGATGTATTTGCCCCGGAGTCTTATTTCTCAGCTTTACCTCCAACTTCTTCGATCCCATCATCCGCTCTCGCCGCCTGTACTTATCCTCGCTGCCCTTGAACCAGATGCGCTATGTGCCTGTCGAATCCTGACGACATTACTTAAACGGGATTATATACCTCATAAAATACATCCAATTAACGGGTATGGCGATTTGTCCCGTGCTGGAGAAGAGTTGGTCCGTCCAATGCGAACGACAGAGGGTGGAAATGGGGGTGTGGTTGTTTGCATGGGTGTGGGAGGACTGGTAGATTTGGGCGATATATTAGGCCTCGATGTGGCCGAGACGGGGGGCATGGGTGGAGTTGAAGTATGGGTCATTGATGCAAGAAGACCGTGGAATCTGGGTAATGTTTTTGGAGGTTATCCCCGACGCGTTCATTTGGAGGAACAGGATCCAAATCAGAGACATAAAGCTATTGGCGTTGATAAAGGGTGTATCACACCATCTTACAAATCCAATGAAGGAGGAATAATTGTTTTTGACGATGGCGATATTGAGGAAGAATTGGCTGCCGAAAGGGAAGCTTATTGCGCCCTCCTCGAAATGCCTGAATTGGACGAGGATGGGGAGGATTACGATTCTGATAGTGGCGTAGACCGAGATGAGGAGCCTGGCTCCCATTCAAAGAAAAGAAAGTCATTGTCAGATCGTGATGATGGTGATGACTGGTCTGATGACGAGAGGCCACCGCGACAGAGACGCAGGAGCATCTCTGTAAGTGCTATATTAATATCTACCATTTTCTAACATAGACTAACAACTATTATAGGGATCTTCAATAACGTTAGCCAACCGTTATGAACGCGAACAGGGAGATTCTTCCCAGGCATCTCGCTCCCCGTCACCCGCATCAGGTTCAGAATCCTCAGCAGCCTCAAAGCAACCCTCTTCGCGTACTCTGCGGCGTCGATTGGTCCGTCTAAAACGAAAACACGAAGCCGTCCTACGAATCTACTATTCCCTTGGCACATCTTATTCTGAACCCATATCATCGCTGTTATACTCTCTTGCATCTGAACTGGGACGGGACGATAACGACCTTCTATGGCTTGCAATTGTCGGGGTGTCTAGTTTGGAGCTTTCAGGCCGCACTATGGCAGGTGTGGGGATATCTAATGCTTCAGAATCTGGAGGATCGGCGGGGTGGGGAGGTGAGCGAGGCGAACGTATTCGACAGGCTCTTCGGGATGAAGTGCGTCGACTAAACCCGCCTGATATCTCAGATACCAGCCGCGAAGCACTAAGGAGTGAAGTCCATGACGTTATTCCCACCACTGGGCGCTCTCCCACAGATACATCTATCCTACTTTCACCTGAACCGCGGTTCTTACTTGTCCGACATTGGTCCCTTTACGAAAGTATGCTCCACAGTCCGTATCTAGCAGCTCGACTTCATGTCTGGAGCGAAACTGGGCGCAAACGCCTTCATAAACTCCTCGCGAAAATGGGTGTGAGTCTTAGCCAGTGCCATCAAAATTATACTCATATGGACATGGAACTCAAGCGCGTGCTGCGGCAAAAACTGCTCAAGTATGCCCCACTGTACGGACTGGAAGGGCTGGTCCCTCCAGCATCTTCAGGGAGTAAATTTGGTTCTTATTCAGGTTGGGGATTCGTTCGCTGTTGGGGTTGGAAAGCATGTCTGTCCGCCACTGACGTAGGTGTAATTATTGGCGCTATCCTCGAAGTTGGGAAAATAGACACCTCTTTAGTGGATAGCGATCGTCATCGTTTTCGAAGAGCCCAGGGCAATGATGATACTGTGTCTCATGATGCTACGGATTCGGACTCAGATGCTTCTAACATACTTAGCCGCTTCTGGAGCGCTTACGATGCCATTTCCTTAACCTCCTCCGAATCTCCAACGAATCTCTTGAACGCCCTACCTCTAGCTCAGCATCTCCATCGTGCGATCTTACGCACCGGAACATCACTTCTCTCCAAGCACCAAATTCGGCATTTACGTGCGTTTAGGATTGCAGTGGTGAAGGATGGACCGGATGTGAAGCTGTTCACAAATCCTGGGGCACTGACTAAACTCGCACTTTGGGTTGGGGAGGCCGTTCGCGTACAGGAACATGAAAACGGAGATGTCATGAAGATTGGCGGTAAACGAGCAATTGGGACACCACTCGTCCTGGCTGGTCTGGACGAAGATAGGAACGTCTATGTAGTTGTTGGAACAGGTGGTGGAGGGGGTGTGGTAGACTTTGCAGCTCTGTCGCAGCGACGTGACGAGAAACGAAAGAAAAAGGAAGCGCAGGAGAAGAGACGAGCGGAACGAGAGGAAAGGCGTGCTCAGCGGGCTGTTGAGAAAGCGGAGCGCGGAGATGATGAGAATGATGGCGAGGAAGAGGAGACAGAAGACGAGGACGATAACTCTTCCTCGTCTGGTTCTGATTCTGACTCTGACGATGATAAGGAACAGATCAATTTACGGACCCGAAGCATTGCCCGAAATCGTTTTGGAATTGCTTTCCAAGAGGTCGTTCACGAGACGAATGCAAGAGTGCGAATTGATAGTTTC